CCTTTATTTTGTTTACAGATAAAGCTGCACTCCTTTAAAGTCAACTGCTATAGGAAAGTTTTCTCATCTGAGTGGCCTTTGATCTAGTTAGGTCGGGACGCCAAAATCCCAAATTGAGTCACCAAGTACACTTGATGCTTCGGCTTATAAGCGAATCTGTTTGCTCGTTTCAGAGTAAAGACTTGTTGACATTTTAGTCGTCTCATACGACGGCGACCGCGTCGTCATTCCTATAACTACGAAAACCTAGTTAGCATTGCCCAACGCATGGCGGATGCGGGCGACGCCTTTGATTTGGAGCACCGACTTAGCAATAGCAGTGCCGCATCGGTAAGTGAAACTTTTTGGGGAGCAAACAATGTCCTTACTCAATGATCCATTCACCTACTGTATTATCTTATTAATTAAATGTAACTCTTGCTTCAGTTTTTCGAGTTGGGCAGGAGCAGCAGTTCTCTCCAGTGGCTCTCCTCTAGCCTAGCTGACCTTGTGTCCCGACCAATAGGAGCACTGCGGAATCTGTGGACTTCAGGACCGGTCGACGCAGAGTGAAACAGAGGCGATTACACTACTCTTTCTATTCTATCTCTTAACCTAAGACATAAAAACAAATCCCATTGACAGAAACCGTATCAGCAGCAAGACAGCAGCAGCCTTATATTATTATGCTTGTTATACTACACATACATGCACTTATGCACGCACTCATACATGCGAAAGAAGCACATCTACTTTTTTGCTATTCATCTTGATTGGTTAACCTCTTGTTTTGTCGCAGAAAATATAAGTGCTAACAAACTTGTTTGTTTCCATATTTCAATAGTGTTTCTTTCCCACTTAATAATGCTTTCCCTACTGACCTACCCTAAGGGTAAGCAAGTGAAAGTTTTGCATCTCTGTGGCGTGGTATGACAATTTACACTTGGCTTTGATTTGATTATTTCGTCACTAAAATACGTGAAGATTGCAGCAGAAGTGTATTCGGTGCAGAATGTCATTAAATTATTGGAGCACCACAACGGGGGTGTTGAAAAGTCGATGACCGGATCTACAGGGCCTCCAGTGACATAGAAAAGTTGGAATAGCAAATCCAAGGCGTCCTCAGGGAGTCGTTTTGCGATGCCACAGATACAGTGCGTTGTATAGCGTTCTGAAGCAAGGAGTTTCTATCACCGTATGGTCAGTAGTAGGCTCTTTACGAATTGGCCAAATCTGGATCAGAACATTGCCACCTTAGCCCATCTGGGAGGGGACATTAGTTAAGAAGTTTACGGCCTACTTGCAGCGCCTGACATAGTTAGGATACTTCATTTGTCTCGTGGTTTCGATCTCAATTACATAGATGGCTTCAGGACTGAAGTCGTGCATACATTCGCAAAGCGTTGAGCTAAAGTGGTGACAGCGGAAGTCGAACTAGACTAGTTGTCGAAAACTACGACAGCGCGAGAGAAGTGCGTATTCTATGGGTGAAGCAAGCACTGATAACTGTAAAAGAAGGGCTTCGAATGACATGGCATGTCTTCTGTTCTTTTCTTCCGTAAGAAATGCGCTAGCAGCAGAATCGACACTAGACGTGAATCATCTAAAAGATGTTCAGCAGTTTTACTCCTATACTTGCATAAGGGAATCCACCATGTAAAAATATGCAAAGGTTCACCCACAAAAAATTGCGTTGCATTCCTACTCGCTCTAACATATCTGCTTCTGAACCAGACATGGCAAAATTTTCGAGAAGAATCAACGACCCTAAGATTAAGCATACCTTCTGTTCCAAAGAAAGGTGAAGAATGATACAATAAGACGTTTTAAAAATCAACGCAATCGTCTAAAAAGGGAAGCTCTTACAATGGCCCAAGACTAGTCTTGATGTTTAACTGTAGCTTTCGGTTGGTATGACCCAAATTAAACATACTTCTTTTGTCGGATGGACAGCGCCTTCAGTTTTCAAGGTCATCCAAACAAGCTTTAAGAGCAGCTTGACTAGCAGTAAATGAAGTGACAACGACAAGAACCTTTGTCGAACTAAAAAGTAGACCAGCCCAAAATTAAGACTCAACCTCTTCCACTTCATTCCTAAATAAAAGCACTTTTTTAATGCCTTCTCTTACCTAGTCCGAAGTCTCAGGACGTTACAATATTATTGTATTCATGACTACAGGCAAGAGACTGCTAAAACAAATAAAAACCATGTAAAAGCAGTAAAAAACTAACATATTTGGGTAGCATATCCCTTTTCGCTTGCACTTACATGGATAAGCTGAACATTTAGCAATTAAATAATATGTCAATCCAGCGTGCTTAGAGTATTAAACCACTAAACTTGATGACAAAATACGATAAAATAAAAACGCTAATGGATGAATAAAAATTTTATAATTACAAGATTTGCAGTGTGACAATTAAATGGACTAATATAAGATAACGCGTGACCTTAAACGACCATTCATTGACTCGCGCGACATACAGAATCGTCGAAACAATTCGGTGGTTCGTTGCTTTCATTAAGCTTATTAATACAAAGAAAATTAATAAAGTGAATAAAAAAGTAAACTTAGATTATCTAGATTTTTTTGCGTTACCAATTTGCATTTTTTGCAATTTGAGTTACAAGTCATCCTTGATTTACAGAATATTCGGAAATCCAAGATCCATAATTTCACAGTAATAGCAGAGCGACCGTTTTATGACTATACTTTAAAAGCTTTTAGTAACTTATTAATATTAGTTACTTATAAATTGTTTAGTTATTCACATTAGCTACTCGTATAGGTTTGTGCATTAGGTTTTTACTGATTGCACTTTTCAAACATGAGCGTCTCATATTTTACCAAACTTATTTGAGACCTATTTTTAAAAAATGTATTGCAGTATTGTTACAAATAAATATTATTCCGTGATTTTTAATATCCTTCTTTTATTTAGGTAAAATGGTTCAATCTGCTCAGCCAGATGAAATGCTCACCAAATTTCTCAAGTTTGTCCAACTTGAGGATTGCTTGGAGCTTTTAGCTGACAAGCTTGAGGTTACATGGTATGCTTTACCTTTTGCACTAGGAATTCGTTGCTAGTGGGCAACCAGACAAAATTGCTTTCTAGGTGTCATTTTTCCGCTAATGTAAAACATGATTTTCCTGGGGGAAAATGGTAGTAACTGAAGTCCCCTTAATCTACTAATGAATGAAGATGGTGCTTAGTGTAGTTAGTGCAGCTTTTTACTCTTGTAATAGTTTTGCGGACCTAAAGAAGTTAGAAGAGGACTCGTTACGGAAAGTATTGGGAGGACCCGCAACTAAGCGCCTCCTGAAAAAGTATCGAGGTTACAAGAACAAAGCGAAGGATCCAAAAGTATGTTGTGTGAGAGTTTGACCATTTTGGGTAAACGTAGCAGTAGCCTAAGAGATGCTTTTGGATTTACTGTTTGAACATTATTAAGTTTAATCATAAATTTTTTTGTTCAAGTGTTTGATACCATAGTAAATCAAGCGTTTCATCATATTTTCTGGATGTTGATCAATGTCGTTCTCGTGTGTTACCTGTTTGGTGCACTCAGTGTGCAAGCCTTTCCGATATGACAACTTTAGCCCTAGAACAGCTTAAAAAGTGATGACAATATTATTGAAAGCGCTACTGTTACAGTATGTGAAGATCTACTCGACTTCAGCATTTTATTTTAAAAGTTGGTCGACAAAATGACGCTATTCAATCCCTGGGCACGCATTTCAGAGATCGAATTTTCTTGTTGTTAACTCGAATCGCCTTTTTGCTGAAATTGGGAAAGCCCTTAATCATTCTTAATGTTTTCAGCCATCAGAAATGCGTCCTTTGTCTGAATTTCTTGCGGAATTAAATTTAAAATCTGCAGAAGATGAATTAAGGACAAAGCTTTTTATTTCGCGGTAAGTTTTACATCCTCACTACTGAGGTGGAGTAAAATTCAACACCATTTTGACAAGCATTTAACGCATACTGATTGACTATGTGATTTACCCAAATGGTAACTTGCCTCACCGCCCCCATGCGCAGGCATCGAGCTGAGTGATTGCTTCTCCATAGAGGATACTGTTTTAAATACATCTTTTGGGAATTTTACACACTTCACTTGTATGGGATGTCACTTTAAATGGCTGCCTTGCATGAAATCACAACATTTATAACAGTTTATAGTAGGTAATAAACTGAGTGGGAGTATGCAAGTGCCAAGATGGTGGACTCTTAGTAGAAGTTGTTTGCTGAACTTGACCACGACACAGTCCATAGATGCTCACTATTACGCCTTATCCTTTAGTTTGGAACACTTCGAATTTGCAACTCAAAGCGATCTAGAAGAGATTATGGATAAGGACTCGGCGCAGAAAATTTTGCGTGCCTATTCAAAAGAAAATATGGTGAGTAGTGAGCATTTGCAAATGAGACAAGAAGATTTAGTCGATTTCAACTCCAAATGGATGAGTACTTGACAAATTTGTGCAAACAAAAGCGAAAAGTAAAGTAAACTAAGAATGTGACAGGAATTGCCTAATTAAATATCTACCAAACAGTAAGATGAGTAGACCAAAGTTCTTTGCTATCGTTCTGCTTTCTTTTAATTTAGAGGAAGTTAACAGAAAAGGCTCGTGATGTCACCCAGAAGGTTCTCAGACCCATCTTTGGCTGTGTGATGTCTTCACTGCCCCATTTGCTCACTCCCAGATCGGCCCCGCATAATGAGATAAACGTGGAGGTGAAAATAGAGAAGTCAAAGTAATTTGCCGTCCTATTAACAATGCCCTAAGGGGCCCCCTTTTTCAGTAATGCCTCCTTCACCATAGCAGCAAACACAAGGTGGAAAAGCTTATTGTGCATGTAATTGTGTTGGACAATTTAGACGGCTATATGCTCGTTGGTAACGCTTGTTACTCTTCAGTCGCCACAGTGTTAGACCCCGCAACGACAGTCTAAGCTGTTCGATATTGCGCTGTTACGTCAAGGTCGTTGTCTGATTGGCTCATTTTGAAGCTAGTCGTAGTCCCGCAGACACGGAATAATTTAATCACCGAGACTTGCCACGTAAGTGGACTTGAAGTGAGAGCTGACGCTTGTTTTCCTCGTTAACAATAGGGAATTAAATTATACAAGTCTTTAATTGCTATTGTCTCGTGGATGTGGTGTTAAATAATCACGACGAGGTAACGAGAGAGGAGAGGTGTATTTTGTTTACGTAGCTAAATGACCAATATTAGCCTTACCGTGTAGTCTAAACTGTTTATGTGGATACCCAACTTCCTACATTAGCTTGATCACAAAATCACTTTTGTGACAAGTGTTTTACCCTTTTTACAGCTGAAATTACAATGCGGTTAGTTCCCATGGGCGTCAATAA